TTGAAAAGAAAAAAAAAAAAAAAAATCGAGCCGAGTAAGGCTCGAGCCAAAAGCTCGGGCTGAGTCTCATTTTTTTTGGCCGGGTTCGGCTCGGCTCGGACCCAAAAAAGCTCGAGCCAAGCCCGAGCTTTTTTTTTTTTCGGCTCGGCTCGATTCGTTGACATAGCTATTGGTACTGCTACTGTAATTATCCTTTTATTTTTCTAAAAATGGATTACATCGGTCTGGCGACCCAACGAGCCTATACACTTTTGGCCCTATTGTGGACTGTGAAAATGAGAGGTCAGCCCTATGCCCTACAAAATTAGAACATGGTACATTATCCAAACTTTTAACATTAATGGATTTTGATGTAATTTTTTTTGAGAATAACTTTTTCTGAAAAGTGATTTTTTTGGGAATGTGAAGTAAAATTATTTCATTGAAAAAAATGATTTAGTAAATGGTGAGTTTTAAAAAATCCCTACCAAATATGAGGTCAAACACTCCTCCGAAGTCTTTCAAGCATTGTATTTTAAAGATAAATTTCACAAGGGATATTAATAATGGACATAATTTCATGTTATTGTATTTTAAAGATAAATTTCATATGGGATATTTGTGTTTTCCTTTCCATAAAACTAATATTTTAAAGTGAAATCTCAAGTTTCAATATTATCTATAATATATAAAATATCACATTAAGTGAGAATTATTTTTTTAAATGATTCTAGCCATATTATAATTTAATTATTTCAATAATAATCTACTTTTCATTTTTCAATATGTATTTAATTTATTTAGTTAGCATCAATGTACATATACATTTGATATATTCATTTCACCTATTTGCCTTCGTTAATGTATGAATTCCTCATTATTAATTTGCAATTAATTAACATTTACATTAATTGAATTAATGTGTAATATATTAAATATCAGATCAAGTGAGAATAATTTTTTGAGCAATTCTAGACATACGATGAATATCGATATTGTTTAGTTAGCAGATTTCTCACAGACCGTGTCGTCCACTTTATCTCAATGAGGAGCACCATGGCGTCGATCTGGCGTCCGAACAAAGGGGTCTGCATCAAGGATCTGGGGGCGGGAATCTAAGTTTTCCAGTTCTTCCATCCCATTGATATGAATCGTGTTCTTGATAATGGGCCGTGGACATTCAGCAATCACCTTCTCCTTCTGAAACATCTAAAAGAAGACGAAAACCCTACAAAAGTTGACATTTTCGAAACAAGCTTATGGGTACAAGTTCATGACGTTCCTGCCGGTTTTCGTTCGGAACGAGTTCTAATTCAGGTTGGCAATTATATTGGCAAATTTCTCTCTTTTGACCCAAAGAATTTCTCGAAAGGCTGGAAAAATTTCCTTCGGATTAGGGTTCTCATGGACATAAGACTCCAACTGAAAAGGAGGATGAAGCTCAAAAGACCTGGAGGGGAATGGATTTGGATGAATTTCAAGTACGAACGAGTGTCGACATTTTGCTTCATCTGTGGCAAAATTGGACACTCCAACTCCAATTGTGAAAAGCTTTATGAAACCAAAGGGGAAGATATTGAACGGCCATATGGACCTTCTCTCCGAGCTTTGCTTCGGAATAACCTTGGTCTGGCCGGTGAAAGGTGGCTCCGGGGATTATCGCTGGAGGATCCAAAATCTAATTCTAGAAAGGGAGAAAATCACGATATGCAGGAGGAGAATCCCATGAAAGGTGGCGAAAATCTCTCGGCTATTAAAGGAAAATGAGTGATTCAAGGCAACAGCTTAATCAACCAAATACCTACTTCCACGCCACTTTCCATGCTACATTTAAAGGAAAACCCTCTATTCAAGGCAGGTACAACTGGTGATCCACAGATTGACGAAAGTAGCGATAATTTGGGTATTACTATCTTGGACCAAAAAAGACGCCGGATGGATAATCACTCGAAAGTAAACTTGAATAACCCGGCTATTGAGTTTGAACCAATGCATGAGGATCCAAAAAAACGTACCAGCGGTGGGCTGTGCCTTGCAGGCCCACCGATCAACATAAGTATCCTTAGTTGGAACTGTTGTGGAATGGGCAATCCACGCGCAGTTCAGGTTCTTGTGGACCTCGTTAATCTTAATAAGCCCGATTTTATTTTCCTCATTGCGACTTTGGCTTGTAACCAAAAAATGCTTTTTATTAAAAATAAGTTAAATTATGATTGCTGTATTGTTGTTGACTGCATTGGACACAGTGGCGGGCTTGCTCTTTTGTGGAAAAAACAAAACATGGCCTCTCTCTTAAGTTTATCTCGTTTCCATATTGATGTTGAAGTATTATTATTCGGCCGACCGAAATGGCGTCTCACTGGTTACTACGGAAACCCGGACCGCAACAAACGTCGGGAGAGTTGGAATCAATTAAGACTTCTTGCTTCATCATCTACTCTTCCATGGATTTGTATTGGAGATTTTAACGATCTCCTATTCCAACACGAAAAGATGGGACAACACGAACATCCTAACTGGCTGCTTAACGGCTTCAAGGAAACTATAGAAGACTGCCAACTTAATGACCTTGGTATGGAGGGCTATCAATTTACATGGTTCAAAAGCAGGGGCTCTATATGTTGGATTGAAGAAAAATTGGACAGGGCTTTTGCCTCATCAACATGGAAGGACATTTTTCAAAATGCCAGAGTTCACAACTTAGGACAATTCTTGTCTGACCACGCCCCTATTTTACTACAACCGGAATTTCCTTTGCCGCGCCTTGCTCATCGAAATTTTCATTTTGAAAATCTATGGCTACGTGAAGAAGGTTGCAAGGAAGTTATATGCTCAAGCTAGGGCAAATCTGAAGGAGAACCAATTCTCAAGCGAATCAATCAGTGTGGAGCCGATCTTCTCCAATGGGGAGGTTCTAGTTTACGTAATTTAAACTTCAAAATTCAGAAAGGCAGATCAGCTATGCGTCGACTACAAAGACGAACAGATCCAGACGGCATCCACAAGTTCCGAAAGGCTCAAGCAAGCTATTTTCAAGCCCTACACCAAAAAGAGATCTATTGGAAGCAAAGGTCTAGGAAACTGTAGCTTAGAGATGGAGACTCCAACACAAAATATTTCCACAAAGCTGCTTCATCTCGTAGACAACTGAACATGATCCATCGCCTTAAAGATAAGGATGGCAATTGGGTCACGAAGACGTCAGCTATTCATCTCATCATGTCTGCTTATTTTCACGATCTTTTCAAATCTACAACCCAGAGTGAAGACCCAGGCCCAGTGGTTGAAGGTATAAATGTCCGAATTTCTGATACTAATCATGATATATTGGCTGCACCATTTACAGCTCAAGAAATCAACAAGGCCATTTTTGAGATGCAACCCGACAAGGCTCCAGGACTAGATGGCATGAACCCGGCTTTCTACCAAAATTTCTGGGATATTGTTGGTAAGGATGTTATATCCATGTGTTTAAACTGCCTCAATATATGCACCTTCCCTACAGGCTTAAATGACACTTCAATTGTACTAATCCCAAAGAAAAGAAACCCAAAAACCATGCAGGACTTTAGGCCAATATCTCTCTGCAATGTTATGTACAAGGTAGTGGCAAAAACCCTTGCTAATCGTCTCAAGATCACACTACCGGATCTCATACCGGAGACCCAATGGGCATTTGTTCCCGGCCGGTCCATAAATAATAATATTATGTTGGCTTTTGAGGCCCTTCATCATATGAAGAAGAAGCACAATGGAAAACAAGGTTTGATTGCTCTCAAGATTGACATTAGCAAAGCATATGATCGTCTTGAATGGGGCTTTTTGAAGCATGTGATGACTCGAATGGGATTTCCTCAAAACTGGATCGATTTGATCGTCCTGTGCGTCTCAACGGTCCGATACCAAGTTGTCCATGGGGGCTTTCATATTGGACCTATCATTCCTGAGAGAGGGCTGCGCCAAGGTTGTCCATTATCGCCGTACCTTTTCATTCTTTGTTCGGAAGGACTGTCGTCAATGATACGTTCCAAAGAGGACGCAGGTGCTATCCATGGTTGCAAAATTGCACGGAAGGCCCACCCTCTCACTCACCTTTTCTTCGCGGATGATAGCTTGTTATTTTTTCGAGCCAATACGAGGGAATGTGAGGAGATCA